TATAAAAAACTAATAGCCTACATTGCTCTCAATGGAGAAAAACTGAAAGCCTTCCCTCTGTGAACAGGAACCCGACAAGGATGCCCTTTGTCACCACTCCTATTCAATATTCTGCTGGAAGTCTTAACAAGCGCTATATGGCAAGACAGGGAAATTAAAGACATCCAGATAGGAAAAGAGGAAGTAAAACTCTAGCTATTTGCAGACTATAAGATCTGATACATAGAAAACCCCAAAGACCCAGTGAAAAAACTACTAGACCTCATTAGAAGATTCAAGAAAGTGGCAGGATAGAAGATCAACATACACAAATCAGTTGGATTCCTTGATGTCAAAAACAACAGCACTGAAAAGGATATTTGGAAAGCAATATCATTTACAATCGGTTCACAAAGGATGAAATATCTAGGAATAAGTGTAACCAGAGAAATGAAGGACTTATGAAAAGAAAACTACAAAACACTACTACAAGAACTAAAAGAAACCTACAAAAATGGAAGAATGTATCATGCTCCTGGATAGGAAGACTTAACATTGCAAAAATGTCAAAACCGCCCCAAACAATTTACATATATAATACAATCTCAATCCAGATTCCATCAACGAGATGGAAAAAACAATGACAAACTTTTTATAGAAAGGAAAGAGACCCAGGACAAGCAAAGCACTGCTTAAGAAGAATAAGGTTGGAAACCTCTCATTCCCCAACTTCCAAATTTATTACATGGTTACAGTCGTCAAAACTGCTTCGTACTGGCACAATGAAAGATACATTGATCGGTCGGACGCTGGCGGCGCGCATGGCATGGCGGGGGCAGCGGCGGCGCGCTTGAGGTAGAGGGACGCCGGCCCGGTCAGGCCTCGGCGGGGCCTACACACTTCGCTAGCACGCTCCCGCCTCCCGCCCTCGCGCGGCCATGGAGGAGCCCTCTCCCGCCCGACGCCCGGTGCCCCTTATCGAGTCAGGTAAGACGCTGGGCGGCGCCGGCAGCGCCTCTCCCGCGGCGTCCCCCGCCTCGGCTCGGCCGGCGGCCCCGGCTCCCCGGTGACGCCCCCCTCCTCTCCCACCGGTCCCGGTCTTGACCCGGCTTCCCCGTCTTCCCGCAGAGCTGTACTTCCTCATCGCCCGGTACCTATCGGCGGGCCCGTGTCGGAGAGCGGCCCAGGTGAGTGCGGGCCCCGCGGTCTGCGGCGGCGGCGACCTCGGGCTTTCCGGCCCCGCAGTCGCCGCCGGGTTTGGCGGGTGGCGGGCGTTGGATGGAGTGGGGGCGCGTCCCGGGTCCAGCCCTAACTGCGCGTCTTCTCGGCTGCAGGTGCTGGTGCAGGAGCTGGAGCAGTATCAGGTCTGTGCCTCTCCGTCCTCCGCGCGCCCACCCCGTCGCCTCCCCTCCTCCCGAGCCGGCCCCCCGAGTGCTGCCGCCTGCTCCCCCGCCCCCGGGTGCGCCCCCGTCGGAGCGCTAGTCACGCGTGTGCCTTTCGTGTCTTTCAGTTGTTGCCGAAGAGGCTGGATTGGGAGGGCAATGAGCACAACAGGAGCTACGAGGAATTGGTGAGACTTTTGTCCTTCTCCGTTCCCCGCCCCCGTGGGCTCACGCGTTCGTGCTACAATGTTTACGCCGCTTTCGGAAGCGGCCGTGTGAGGGGGCGGCTGGGAGCCGGCGCTACTGCTCCCCACTAGGTCGGGGTTCGCCGTTTCCATGGGACCGGGTTGGTTTGGGCAGGAAACGGTCTTCCGGGGGTAAGGGGTGGTGGTGGGCGGCGGTGGCAGCAGCAGCAACAGCAACGATGTGGGAAACGTCTTAACTGCGGGGGGTGGGTCTCCAGGTGCTGCTTGCTACCCCTGGTGCGGCTGGTGTGTGTGCGCGTGCGCGCCCGGCACAGCCATTCAGTGAGGTGGTTTCATCTGTGCCTTCTTTTTAAGCGGACTTGTAAATCTGGCTCTGATTGGTCTTCCTTCTTTTCGCCCCGCCCAGGTCTTTCGACCACTTGTTCCCTTGGAATAAAATCCCTGAAGGTTGGGAAGAGTTTCTCTTTAGCATTTTGCCCCCCACCCCCTTCCCCTAGCTGCGTAGTCAGAATATTGTTGCTTTGAGAACATGTCACTCTTTGGATAACTGTTGCCGCTGTAAATGTCCGAGCAGTACGTTTGTTAAATACCGTGGTGGTGGTAGTGGTGTGCTTTGGAGTCGCTGCGACCCTGTATAGGGTTTCTGAGGCAGTACATTTTTACGGGAGCAGAAAGCCTCATCTTTCTCTCATAGAAATGGCTGGTAGTTGCGACCTGCTGAACTTAATGTTAGCAGCCTGATTCATAAACACTATGCCACTAGAGTTGCTTGTTAAATGTCATAGAAAGCTTTATCTTAGTATGCTGTTACACTGATCTTGTTGAACATATCAGGCATAAGTATATAGATTTTTAACTTTATATTTTGCATCTACATTAATGTAGATGTAATAAGAGTCCTGGTGTGGCAATGTAGAATAAACACTGGGCTGCTATCCGCAGTGTTTATTGGTTCAGATCCACGAGCCGCTTGTTCTCGGGAATCCCTGGGCCGGGTTGCTGTGAGTCTGAACTTAACAGTAATGGAAGGAGACCTTGTGGCAAAGTGAGTTAAACGTTAAACTGCTAGCTGTAAGGTCGAGGTTGAACCCATCTACCAGCCGTCCGGGGAGAAAGATGAGGCTTTCTGCTCTATAAAGATTTGCTCTTTTGCCAAAGGAGCAGTTTTATTCCTCGGAAACCCTATACAGGGTAGCTATGGGTCGGAATCGACTTGCCAGCACAAAAACAACATTAAGGTCGCTATGAGTAGAAATCAACTCTTGTTGGTAGTGGGTTTGGTTTTGTAATGTGCATTACAGTTTTTATTCCTTGTGCTCTTTCACTTGTTAAGTGCTGTTGAGTTGATTCTGACCCATAGCTACCCTGTATAGGGTTTCCAAGGAACATATGGTGAGCTTAAACCATTGACCTTGCAGTTCAAACGACTGTGTAGTCTGACGGATTAGCCCACAGTGCCACACCAGGACTCCTTTCACTTGTTTGGTGGTGGTGGTGGTGGTTGTTATGTGTCATGGAGTGGGTTATGACTTATAGCGATCATGTACAGGGTTTCCAAGGCTATAAATCTTTCTCCCATGGAACAGCTGGTAGTTTCGAACTGCTGACCTTGAGGTTCGCAGCCTGATTCATAACCACAATGCTACCAGAGTTTGTATTGTTGTTGTGAAGTACTGTCGAGTCAGTTCCTACCCATAGCAACCCTATATAGAGTTTTCAAGGAGTAGCTTGTGGGCTTGAAGCGCCGACCTTGCAGTTCAGATGGCTTTGCAGTCTGACACATTAACCCACAGCAGGACTCCAGAATTTGTTGTTGTACTTGTTAAGTGCTGTCGAGCCGGTTCTGACCCATAGTGACCCTGTACTGGGTTTCTGAGGCTTATAAATCTTTACAGGAGCAGAAAGCCTCATCTTTTTCTCACAGAGCGGCTGGTAGTTTCGAATTGCTGATCTTAAGGTTCATAGCCCGATTTGTAACCACTAGGCTAGCAGAGCTCCTGAGAGTTTGTTTGGTGGTGGTTATGTGCCATGGAGTCGGTTCTGACTCATAGTGACCCTGTACAGGGTTTCCGAGGCTTATAAATCTTTCTGGGAGCAGAAAGCCTCGTCTTTCTCCCAGGGAGCAGCTGGTGGATTTGAACTGCAGACTTTGTGTTTCATAGCCTGGTTCGTAACCACTATGCTACCAGAGCTCCTTCAATAGAGTAGTGTAGAGTGTAGAGTGTGTAGAATGTTATAGTATAGTGTAAACTCATATGCATTGGGAGACAATCAAGATTATGTTACTTTCTTTATTCTGGTATTCATTTTACTGTGATAGTGTGGAACCAAGGTAAGCATGTAGATGGGTGAGTGTGTGTATGTATGTATCTTTAGTCAATACTCAGAATGCCCCTTGTTCCCCATGTGTCTTTTAATTTAAATCAAGCATTAGCCAAGGTCTGTGCATTGCACTGATTGCCTCTTAAATCTCTCTTTATTTTGAACAGTTTACATGTGAATCTGCTGGTTGTTTTTTCTTTTAAACTTTTTAAAATTGAGTAGAGGTTTGCAGATCAGATCACCAGCTTTACATTCAAGTTATACACTTTGTTTTATCTCAGAAATTACAATCCCCTTCCTGCAACAGAAGTTTTCCTACTTCCTCCTGGTAGCTCCCCATTTACATTTTATGTTTAACAAATGAACACGGCAAAAATATTTTATGTATACATATAAAACAAAAAAAATTAAATGTCCAAAGGCATATTCTGCAAGCCAGCCACCTACCTGTAGGCATACAGCCTTACTCAGTCTGTGGACCTTGATCCTGTAGCTGGTCTGTTGCTCATTGTCGCCGCCTTTGCCACCATACTTGCTGTTGGTGCTTTTCTAGGTCGGATCTCACATTCTACTCATGCTATTCCTTGTTGGTCCTGGGATCATCTGTTCCTGAAATGAAAGATTAATTCCTCGCCCCTTTTAGTAACACAGCTTAAATAATTACAGTTGTGACAATCACAATGAATCCTGTTAGTAATTAGTCACAATTGAATCAAAATTCTATCACCATCATCCTGAATCTTCTCTTCTTTTGAATTTTCATTGTGAATTGAGTGATAGTTTACTTGGGAAAACATCGGCTTTATACTCATTGTTTCATTGCAGTGATTACAATCTTCTCTGCATCATCATTCAACAGTATTTGCTTCTATTCCCTCTGATTTTTTGTGGACGTACACAAAAACAAGAATATATAATCATTTAAACAACCAAAGGACACATTCTGCAAGTCTGCCTCCTGGCCACCAGCTTTCAGTCCCTCACTTTCCATGAATCTAGAGTTCTTAGCTGCTCCCTCTCTCCATGTCCCCATCTCTGCCTCCATCTCTGGTGTCACTGCTTCTCTGGATAGGGTCCCACATTTCACTTGTGCTCTCCTACGGCCCTCTGTTCCTGGACTCTACTGATTTTTTTTTTTTTTGAAGTTGTCGAAGACATTATTTTGCTTAGATCTACTATCGCTCATGAAAGCAGCAGTCAAGAAATTACACGATGTATTGTATTATATATTAAGGTTATAATATATATTAAACTTCTATATATTAGAGTTATAATATATCTGTATGTACATTTAAGGTTTTTATTGTGGATTGAGTGAAAGTTTACAGGGCAGGTCATCAGTTTTACGTTCAACAAATCATACACCTTGTTTCATTACCAATGAGTATAATCCCCTCCATGTCTCCATGTACCATCAGTTAACAGTATTTCTCTCTATTCATTTTAGCTTTTCAAAACAAAACAAAACACTCAGGCATATATAATAATTTACATCTCTAAAGGGCATATTTTGCAAGTCTGCCTCCTGATGACCACCAGCTCTTAGTCCCTTTCTTCTCATGACTCCAGGGTCTTCAGCTGCTCCATCTCTCCATTTCCCCATCTCTGCCTCTGTCTTTGGTGTTGTTGCTTCTCTGGATAAGGTCACATACTGTGCTTGTGCTCTTCTCCCCTGATGGTCCTAGGGTCCTCTGTTTCTGAACTGTAAGATTAACTACTCTCCTGTTTTCATTAGAAAACTAATACCTTTACAATTGAGACAGGTGCAATTAGTCATCATAACAATTACTCACTATTGAATCATATGAATCTTATCCCTGTCTCTTTTCACCAGACCCATCCAGACAAGATGAAAACCATTAGTAGGCACTCTTTCTCTCCCCACACACACTTAAACTAAACTCCCTCTTGAAACTTTGTAAGCCAGTCACTTTGTGCCTTAATTACCTCTTCACTTTAGACAGCCAGTGTCTAAGTTGCCCGTTCCCTATCTACCCTGTGTACAGAGGGGATAGCGTTGATCCTTGATGTTAAGACTCTTTCCTTCTCTATTGGTATTTAGAGTTAAAACTACCTCTATGGCTATAGGTCAGGTTCCTCAAATTGTAGCAATTTACCCTTGTTTTCTTTATCAAAAAATTTTTTTTTGGTAATCTCCCTCTAGTTGAATTCTGATGAACAAGCCTTCAAGGCTAGGTCAAATGGGTACTGTCTGCAAGTTTGGTGTTCTTGAGCTTCTCCCCTCACACTTCATATCAGCTGGATGCTTCACTCTGTGGCTATGTCCTTGTCC